CAGTCACTTAAGAAATGGCTCTAGGCCTGGCTTTTATTTGTAACACTTCTTTTTTCATATACAATAGTTTAATTGTATGACAACTCTCTCCTGTCTCAGCTGGCTTGAGTGTTTATTACAAGCAGTCTCAAACCAAGTCTGGACTTCAACTTAATGCTATGATGATCTGCTCAATTTTACCACATTTCTCTTACTTTTTTATGGATCTGCAGGCATAAATAACGTACTTTTCTTTTTGAAGAATTGGCTAGATATCTAAAGTCACCTCACGCTTAATTACCCACAACACCACTCTTGCTGTTTTTACATTCTCCTCTAAACATACTTCTGTACCATTTTTCTTTATCTTAATAAATTTACTCATGAAAAATAGGCAAAAATTCACTTCTTATTCTTGACTTTTTAATTTTTGTCCAATTAAACACTGAACCCCACATTAGATTCACCTTTTTAAATAGATTTTACTTTTTTTTTTTTTTTCTGATATGCACTTTTCTCTGGCTCCTTGTTCCCTGGAACTTAGTCCTTGGGTGCCTTTCATTGAGAAATAAAATGTGAGGAAAACATATCTACATACTTCCTTTGTAGAAGTATTACCCATGATGTGATGCTACCTCTTTTACCCTAGGTTCCTGATGAAGTCAGTGCCCTCAGATGACTCCGGGCATGCAAATAATGTGAAAAACCAAAAAGCCTTTGCTGTTTTATAACACTGAGATTGGGGGGGGGGGGAAACTACGCATAAGCTAGTCCATCCTCACTGAAGACCTCCAAATTCTACTGCTTTATTTTAAGGTATGTCTCCAACCGCATCCTTGCTACTTTTTCTTACGCTATCTTCTTCCAAAGCATGCCCATGTTTCACCTGGATTTGCTGTAGGAGTCTTAATTAACTTTCTTATCCTTCTCTGGTATTTATTAAATTTTTTTCAAAAGATCAGCAAAATTCATTGTTTAAAGATGAAATAGATATTGTAACTGTCCTACCCCAAACGCATCAAAAACTGGGAGGTATGACCCAAAGTCTATCAGTCACAGAGCCTATTCAACTTCTGCTGAGGTCTCCAAATTTGTTTCCTATCATCCTTCAGTACCCACCACATGATTCCCTTACCAATGCTTGCAAGCAGTAAACTTATTCTCTCTCAATGTTTTCCTCTTGTTGTTTTATCTACATGGAGCATTCTACTTCAAGATCCATGTGTGGCTAGCTTACTCCCTCTCATTATACAAATCTTCCCTCCAAGGTTATAACCTTAGAACAGCCCCCATAGTTTCTAAAACCACATCTCCTAAAAATTCACTATGTAGTTACCATGCTTGTTTTCGTAAAGAACTCTGGGAATTCTTATTTCTTATTTACTTAATTTTTTTCTCTCTTCATAGACTGTGAATATAAAAAGATGGAGATTGCTTGTTCATTTTTCAGAGCTTTGTCCATGGTATCTAAAATTTCTAGTACTTAGTAAGTTTCAATAAATATTTATCAAATTAATGAATTAATGATTCAATAGCTGAAACCAAAGGTCAAAACAATAACACAAAGACAACTGAGTCAGAGTGATAATCTTTCCTAAGTCTTTAACCTAGTTTGCTTCTTAAAGCAGAGCAAAACCTAAATCAAAATGCTGCCAAATAATCAATTTGCAAAGCTTTTATCTATCTCCACTTACAATTTATGTATTCCATAAAATCTGATGTGTGTAAATTCACTTCTTGAAACTCTTCAGTGCATAATAAAACAAGGAATTTTTAAAGGGAAATTGGCATGGAATATGCTTACACGACTGACTTGTGTTTCCCAATTAATTTTCTACAATGCCCAGGATAAGTACAAGAAAAGGATGTGAACTCAAAAGAAGGGCCCAAAGACAGACGGGACAAGCAGGAGACACTAAGCTAAGACAGTCTAACTGAAAATAATTTTCTGAACAGCTTAACTGGCATTAAGCTGCCACTATAATTTGTCAGTGAGCTGTAAATATGAGCACTGTGTTTTACTCGTCATCATTCCCTCAATGATATGTTTATGCATACTTGTATTACAGGCCAAGATGACATATGTGAATGTCCTTCACTGGGCATATTCTTGGATCGTTAGTCACTAGGAATGAAGGACATTCACAAACATACTTGCCCAGTTATCAGCTTTCAAACATGAGACATGCTATGTTTCTTTCCCAGAAGGTAGTACAGTTGAAGACCATTTTCTATGACAAAGAAGTATGCTGCAGGTAACTGCCTTTCAGACACTGAACCACTTTCCCCTGGCCTCAGTAGCGTTAAAGTAAGGAACGGCTGTGAGAGACATGAGATATGATGGACTCATCCTGTGACTTGAGCATTTTATTCAACATTTTGATGCTAGATGAGGATGGGGTTGTCAGTATTTATCCTAGATGCTTCATAATGTTGCTGTGACAATAAAATTACTCATGTCGATTTAGGACATGTTTATAAGCTGGATATATTAGTTATTTGTTTCATTTTGCCACATAGAGGTAATTTCAGTTAGCCTCTAAACTGAAGTTTTAGTATTTATACATTTCAAAGTCTGGAGAAGGGGAGACACAGCATCAAATGTACATATTTGATCATCTTTCCACTGGAGGTTAACAATATTCATATGTGATTAAGCAATGTTGAAATTGTAGTAATTAGAAAATGGCTGATATTTCTTTAAGCGTGTAAAGGGACAAAGAGCTAGCTCCCAGTAGGAACATTTCACAGCCCATTTCTACACTCAGCCATTTACAAACACTGTCTCTAACCCAAAGAGAAAGCTAATGTCATAATCACGGAACGAAACAAAATTCATTGTAACAATTAAGCTATTATCTAAAGAGGAAAATCAAATCAGAAAGAAACACACAAGATTGTCTGAAATCTCCTTTCTGCTGTGACCAGGTGAACTGACAAACTCTGAGGTCTACAGCTTAATGTTCTCTAGTTGCATTGGTGATTAGTTTACTTGAGCAACTCTCCTGTTCATCGCTGAACATAGTCCAAATATCTTATTAAATATGCAGAATATGAGATGCATACTCTGTTGAAAGCATTCCATGTCATTAAAAAACATCTTCACCGAAACAATTTAGTTAGCAATTATCCATGCCCAATGCAATCCCAAACCCAGAAGTCACTTTAGGAAAGAGTCTAGTTACAAATAAAGATAGTAAGGGATAGCAGACATTACTTTATAGCAGCAATACCCTATCAAGCAAAGGAAGCTTGACTTTTTAAGGAAACAGCTCAGGAAGAACCATCAGCCTTAAGCAAATCCATTCTGTCTGTTCATACAACCTCCACTTCTCTAAACAGGAAAGATGAGAGGATGGGAAAATGAATCTTCTTACTTAGCCAACCACTTTCCATCAAACTGATCATTATGTTTACCTCAGTGAACCGATCACAGGAAAATATTTAATCACCTATGTGACCTCACCCCCCTCCCCCCAAAAAAGTCAGATAAAATTGGCTCAAGACGAGGTCCAGTTGATACTTAAGCAGTTATCTGCTGGTTATTAAATTGAGGATCACATTTCTCAGTCCCGACTGTCCATTGTGTTGGTTCTCTTACCTCCTGGTGGTTCTTGGCCAGCCATTCCTTAATTGTACCGAGGGCAATGATCGCAGCAGGCTCATTTGGGAAGCCTAAGTGAAGAGCAGAATAAAGCAAATGAGCAAAAATAAATAAATAAAAAAGGAAAGGAATGCAGAAGTCAATCATGGTTTAAGAGTGGCACTATCTCATTAAATAGTATTCCATTCAGAAAGGAAGTACGTGGTGGCAGACTGCGGAATTTGATGTGAACAGGAAACCTGTGATCTTTGCATATCGCATTAAGACTAGTTCTATACAAGTTACAAAAACTAAAGGATGTAATAATATCCATTATAAACATTTTTACATAAGCTTAATAGCTTATAATACATGTTCATGTAGTCTCATCGGTACTCAGATGAAAATATATTAGCCTTCTCAGCTTAAAAACCCAGGAAATGTGGCTTGTAGCAAACGTGGTTGGTGTGTGGACACTAGGGCAATAGTCCATCAATGAGCTACCATGAGGCAAGGAGAATCAGATGACAAGTAATTATTCCAAAGAAAACTATTTCAGTATTCAGTGATTCCTTCACTACTTGTAGACACTGGGGATGATATTTGGGATTAAGGGTGCAGGAACTAAACTGATATTCTAGTATGGATTTGATTTCACCATGGCAGCAATTGAAGACTTGTGCTTCATCCTAATATGAACACACGTATTCAGAATTTCTAAATTACATCCATAACGTCATTTTAATTATTTTTTAATGTATATAAGTGTATTGCCTACACACATATAAGTGCACCAGTGCCATACAATGCCCACGGATGTCAGAAGAGGGCATTGGATCTCCTGGAACTGGTGTTGTGAAGTGTTGTTAGCCGCCACGTGGATGCTGGAAATTGAACCCATGTCCTCTGCAAGAGCACCCAGTCCTCTTACCTGCTGAACCATCTCTCCAGCACCTAGAACGTCTTTTTTATCTAATGCAACTTGAACATGTTCCTAGACCAGCAGAATCATTACACAATATGCTAGCAGAAGTAGGTGAAGATAAACCTCAAGGGCTTACATATCTGTGATACCAAAAGAAGAGAAGGAGTGACTCTTGGTGAGGCTCTTTCTAAGCTCAGTACTAGGTTTTTCACAAATGGCATCATAGCTCTGTTTTTGATCTCTCTAGAATTAGACATGCTTTTCTGGATATTCCTCATCAATTTTTCTCTACTTCTTAATTTTAGATTTTAATTACTTTTTAAATATTTTATTTATTATTTTTATTTTATGTGTATGAGTGTATTGTCTGCATAGTGTGTAAGTGCACCCATGTTGTACAATGCCTGTGGAGGTCAGAAGAGAGCATTGGATACCCTGGAACTGGAGTTACAAACGGTTATCACCTGCCATGTGGGTGCTGGGAATTAGACCCGGGTTTTCTGCAAGAGCATCCAGTGCTCTTAAGCTCTGAATAATCTCTCCAGCCCCAGTTATTAATTTTCTTAAAGTATACAATTCAATGACAGCATGTTCGGGAATACACCTGCAGAGTGAGCATTCGAGGAGGTGTTGTCCTCAGAAGGTGAGAGTGGGCCACCAGGAATTGATGGACTAAGTGAGTAAAATGAAGAGGAGAAAAGGGCAGGTGAGTATACTGGACTGCAGAGAGGAAGAAGGTATTTGTGATAGGGAGTTGACCACAGAGGTTTGTTCAGTCCAGCCTTCCCTGAGGTTAGCCCAGACATTTGTAGTACATCCCCTCACTATGCTCCGGCTCCAGAGATATATTCTTCCTCCTCCACACAAAGTTCATTCCCTCACAACTTACTGCCCGTGGCTTCGCCTCTCTCCTAGTAACTGCTATGTGTGACTACTTTGCCTGCTGCCAACTGTGACTGAAGATATTGTCCCTCGGAAATATTTTAGAGCTCCCATTCTTGCCTTCATTTTCCTACTGATCTCATGTGAGGTCTAGTGCACTCTCAAATGGACAACCGTATTCGACTTTTAGCTGTACTGCTTCAGTCTTTTCTGCTTTCTCCAATCTAACCAGCAACACTGTACTAAATCTTTCTCACATGTGCTCTGTGGACAAAGTAAAGCATTCCTTGTTAAACACCCCGGCTCCCACAGAAAAACATCTTACCCATTAAACACCTTACGCATTACCCATCCAGTGGCTACACAAGGCCTTTCCAGGCTTGCTCCAGTTTTCCCTGCTTAATCTCTGTGAAGTTCTTTATGAAATTCGTTACAACTTTAAGGTATGTTCAGTAATCATTCAAAACCATAAAATTACAGGGCTATAGAAATCTTAATAGCTACTGTCATCACATTCAATTGCATTGGCTATCAGCATTAACATTCGCCTTCAGAACACAGAACTCCCCACAGACAAAATTAGACAAGTTCTTAGAGAACCATGGCAACCATGGTCAGTTCTCAATTATCTGTGACCTCCTGGTCACTCTCACATATATCAAAGCCTGGCACTCAGTTATGGTTTCTGTCGTGACTTCAGGGGTCACCTTTTCCCTGGGTGATTTTAACACCCAAGAGTATGACCCACCCAACTCCTGGCTGCCAGCTGCTTCACCTGTTCAACTTCAAAATCAACCTCCCCAACTCTACACTAGGCATCTCCTCCTTAGTTCACACAATGAACTCTATGTAATGTTTCTAATTCAAGCTTACTAAGCAGAACTCTTGAGTCCTGTTTATTTTTTAAGGTTTGCTCAGGGACTTCTCGACCAATTCACTTTTACAAGCACTTGAAATCTACTCTACCCTCAGACCACTCCCCAAATCAATGTCAGCATTTCTCCCCTGAATGTTCTGGCTCTTTCTGGCTATTTTCTGTTTCTCTGGGCTCATCTCTTGTATTTCTGTTTCTTTGTGTTGTTCTACGATGACCTCACTAGGTGCTTTAGTTGTTTTCCCTTCCTGTCAAAACGCTTTGCTCATGTAATTTCTGTTGAGATAGAAAATCAAAATTCCAGCCAGGCATGGTGGCGGACGCCTTTAGTCCCAATACTTGGGAGGCAGAGGCAGGTGGATCTCTGTGAGTTTGAGGCCAGCCTGGTCTACAAAGTGAGTTCCAGACCAGTTTGGGCTACAAGAGGACCTTGTCTCAATAAGACCAAAAAAAAAAAAAAAAACCCAAAAACAAAACCCAAATTCCTGTACATCAACAATTGGCTCTTAGTGTCTGAGGCCCAAACACTAGGACTTAGGATATCTTATGCAGAAGTCTACAGCCTGATTCCTAATGACATGAAACACTTGTACACATGGTTTCTATCAGAAAAAGACAACGTATACTATAAAATTTACTACTCAAGAAGACAGTAAAAAGTCTATCATCTATCTATCCAGATATAAACCCTGCCAAAATGGACCATGAAATAAATAAAACCAAGTAACATCCTCTTCAACTACTATAAAAGACTTCCAACCTCTCTTAGCCATGTCATCCCATTTGGGAGTTTGCCTACTGCCTTCCAGCAGTGTATTTCAATACATGCCCTCTCTATTCTTTTTTTTCCCATTCTTATGTGGATGTACGTGCATGCCACAGTGTGTGTATGGAGGTCAGAGGGCAACTTGCAGGAGCTGGTTCTCTCCACCTCGTGGGTTCAGGAGATTGAATGTTGGTTGTTAGGCTTTACACATTGAGCCATGCTGTTGGCTCAATCATTTTTCTCTTTGTATCTTGTAAAATCATTTTATAGATGGTGCCACTGGCCTTCCCTATGCCACTTCACCTGGCATGTTGGTGGCCTGTCTACGGAAGGTTAAAGCAGTTCCTCTGGAGGACAACTCGGGTTTCAAGATTCTGCAGCTCAATTAGATGTCAGTCTCTTACTCTGGCTTTCCGTCAGCTGCTGTTTCTGGAAATTTTTTTCTGGAGATCTAACTCCAAAATGCCACTGCTCACCAAATTCTGTAAAAGTACTCACTTGCTCAAATTCCAGTGGCTACCCTTTGGGTAATCGCTAAGGAGTGATCGAATCTGTAAGCTTTAATTTTCTGTCTTGTTTTAGTCCTATAATCTCCTTGCTTCACTGCTCTGTCTTTTTGAAGAGGAAAAGGAGCTTCTATCTTTTCCGCCTTTTCCTTCTCTCCTAGGTTTCCTTCCACTGTGGATAAGGTCAGGACATGGTAAACACATGCAAACAATTTCCTTCTTGAGATCTTACTGCAGTTTAATTCTACTCAGTGCCAGGACTCCCTCTCCTTCCTTCCACATCATTCCTAAGGAAGACAGGAAAAAACCCCGGTTACTGAAGATGTGGGAACAGACAACTGTCAAAGTATTGCAGGTCACTGGGCCAATGTGGTTGCTAGGGGCACTGTCTTGACCCAGAAAAGCCAATCTAGGTTGCTGTTCTGCAAGACGGGTAAATAGTTTCAGTGGTTCCAATCTTGCACTTTTATAACTTGAGTGGAAGTAATACAAAAGGCAGTGTGGGAGGGAACAAAGTTCTCATATGTTCCATCCACAGGTCCCATCCATCCCATCTCCATGCTGGATTTCCTGGTCTCTGGATCTCTGATGTATGCATGCACACTACTTGTGGCCACCATTTCCCTCCCTGTCAGACCTTCTGATCTAGGGCATTTACCACTGCAGATCCCAGAGAGGGAAGGAACAGAGCATGTATGACTGTCATGAATCCCACCCACTGTTCTCTTGGATGGATTTTATGATCTAAGAAACTTATGAGTAGCCAGGTGTTTACTCCTCCCGGACAGTAAGTCTCCACATGACAGATCAACGTGCAGCCAGCCAAGTTTCAGTTTGTGAGTCTTCCTTCAAGAGCAAACCAGAATGACTCCTGGATACTCTGGATCCATAACACAAGTGGTGGCTCCAAAGGAGAGACTGGGATTTATATTTATCTATCTATTCATATAATAGAGATCCTCTATTCTTTGGGATGGTCCAGATAGTGTTGCTGGGTCCCTTACAGATAAACAGGAGGTCTGTTGCTGACCAGGGACACTCTTGGGGTGGCTCTTACTGTAGAATTACAAGGGCTCTGGCACCTTCCATCACATCTGTGATATACATTTTATTTTTATTTTATGTGTATGAGTTTGTTG